ATGCTATTGACAGTGTTGGCTATTGTGTTATCATTGAGTCATTGTTTTGTTGGAGTTTACAAGAAAAGAATGAACAATATACTTGAAGTTTGGTTCTTATTAAACTTGTGCATCATGGCTTCTTTATCTGTGGCCTATAATGATGACAGCAAAGTATTGATCTGGTACAATACTTGTTTATCTGTTTTTATTTTTAGTTTTATTTTGATTGTTGTTTATCATCTTTACCTGCAGTTATCCCATATGAAATGTTATGATGCTCTAATTAAGAAGTTATTCAAGAAACAAGATGAAGATGATGATCCTCTTTTAGATGCAACTGAATCACATCTAACTGTTGATCAACAAAGAAGAGCTATGGTACCAAGTTCTACTGATTATGTCAGACGAGAATCAGTTGTTGATTTGTTTTAATCTTAAGTAATTTTTGCTGTCCACATTTAATTACTCATGCTATTATTATTTCTGTTAGCTATATTCTTTGTCTTAGAAACTATGATGTATTCCTCAGTGTTATACATAAAATTTTCAGTGTGATAAAAGAGTTCTTTTTTTAATAATAATTCATTACATTTCACTCTGTATGCAACAAAATAAAATTATAATTATGCAAGATTGGTAAACCAGAAACATATCTATATGAAACATTCCTACTGAAGTTATAGTAGTTGTTTCACTCCCACTCATTAAATTCCTTTATACTAATTATAGATCTATTTGCTTCAGTTCAAAGGGAGAAGGAGGCTAAGCTGTATTGCTCTCTGTCATAATATACCTTACAATGTTCAAATATTTGATCATATTCTTGGAGTTCATTCCATTAATTGGTTAGTATCAAGCAATAATAATCCCAGTCTCTATTCTAGATCAATTACTCATATTTTTTTAGTTGCTCCTGGTCACAGTCTAATACCAACATTCAGTTTTAAAGCAGCAATGCTGTCTGTGACCTGATGAAAGTGACCTGCAATACAATGCTATTGTGAATGAGTTTGTAATGGTTGTTGTCCATATTAGGTAATGTTGCTTCGTCTGTGGGTGGAGCATTAGCAGTCCATTTCTTAGGTAAGAAACTTGACCAGAAACTGACAATAGAAAAGTTTCAGGAATTCCATACTCTTCTCAACACTGAGATACTCCTGATGGAAGTAAGAACATGCACATGTACATGTACTAGGAATTAATGATCATACAAGTACATGTACATGTACATGATCTACATGACCTACATGAACATACATGTAATAATAATAATAAATACTAACAAACATGTAGGAACAATATATACAATTTGATTATGCATAAGTATAATGCATGTACATGGTAAGGGTCATATCCATGTATGTATACCATATCATACAATGTCTCCATGGGATGAATACATGATATACATGAACATGTACATGTATGGTCATGTAGGTCATGTAGGTCATGTAGGTCATGTACATGTACTTGTATGATAATTAATTCCTAGTACATGTACATGTATGATCATGTACATGTTCTAGGAATTAATGATCATACCATGTATGTACATGTACACAATGAGTAATTAAGAAACATGTCTGCATCTTTACATGTAGACATGTCTGCATGTCTTTTGTACATGTTTGTTCATATTTTATCAAATAATATTTAATTAATAATATTAATCATTTCTCAATTGTATGTTCATGTACTGTAGTATCTACGTTATGATCTTGTTGATGGGATGATTAGTGAGAGAGACTTTGCTCTCATGATCCTGCGCATAGGCGGCTGCAGGCCCTGGCAAGCCCGGGTAGTTTTTAATCAAAACCACACCCAAAAGGTGTGTTTTGTTATGATTAGGACACTATAATTCATTTTTAATACCCACAACTGTTTATTGGGGCGAGCATAAGCGAGCCCCACTCAGGCGAAGTCTCCCTCCCTCCCTCCCTCCCTCCCTCCCTCTGTATGTATGTACGTACGTCTCCAGTCACGCCTATTCTGGTCACACCCATGTGTGCACAACTCTCTATTTAAAAATCAATGATCTAATGCGGTAGCATTCTAATGAAATATTTTCATTGATGTGGGTGTGGTACTGTGAGTGCAATGAAATAAAAATGGCGCCTACCTTAGCCAATCTTACTTGCAGCAACATAAGACTGATCTGTTGTCAAGACACTTCACCAGCAGAGAAAATTTAAGAAAACTCACACAAATCTTTCAAGTTTTTATTAATTATGGTTGAATGACAGAATAAAGCACTTCAAATGGCTCATCAGAGAAAAGAAAGTCTTAAAGTACTGTGCTTGAAAATATCATAGTAAAAATTAAATTATACTTATTAAAGTTACAACTGAGATTCTTCACTGCTAATAAAGCTAGAAGAGCAAGCTATAAAATTTCCTTTCATGCATGCAAGTCACAAGTTCTGAGCTGCTTTGCATGTGTATCATTTACAATTTGACAACAACATTAGCCTTTGTGACATCTAAACATTGTATATTGCCATGCTAGCTTGTGCTCGCCCCTTCAATGTTCTACATTCGCCTAGTATAAGTATCAGCTCATCTTTACAGTTATTTTAGTGTGGTAACTGGCTTCAGTGGCATATGTGATAGTCATTTAATTAATTGACCACACCCCCAATTGATATGAATAATTAATGAGCCCGGGTAAATGCAAAATTCTGCAGCCGTCTATGATCCTGCGTCATGCCTCAAGTGAACAAAAGAAAAAGCAAATGGTCAAGAGAGTTAAGAAGAAATTTGGACCCAAACCTAATCCGGTAAGAAAAGTTGTACTATTTAATCAATGACATTTCAATGAATAGTATTTTATTTAATGCAGTGTGCATTTTCTGATGATAAAAACTAGCAAATTTCTTCTTTTTATATTTAGGGTGTTAATTTTGAAGATGTTAAATTCTTTGATCGTTTGATGGGTTGTCTCTCTGACATAGACACAGCACTGGGTATGTATTATGCAGCTGGAACCTCTATAACACCTGGTATGGTATGGTAACTAGCTCCTCCCCCTCTCTATTGCTCTATTTTTATTAAATTTTCTTTTTTTAAGCTGAGCTCAATGAAGCTTGCAAGGCTGTGACTGGCTCTTCTGTCAGCAATCATCTTGTTGATGTCCTTTTCACAATTTTTGATGAAAATAGTCAGTTTTAAGTATTGATTAATTTCCATGGATTTAGCTTTGTGCTAGATCAATAAGCACATTCATGATTATTTCAAATATCTATCATAGCCACCATGTTCCCTTGCTACTATTATTATTGGTATTTAGATGATGGTGAGTTAAGTAGAAAGGAGTTTGTACACGTTTTAAAATCAAGAAACTCACGAGGTTTGCAAAAGGTAAGTATATTAGTTTAATTTAAAATGATTCTTCTCTCCTTTAGTCACGAGAATTAGGACAAGCCAAACTAATGAACTCTGTTGTGGCTTGCTCTGCAAAAGCAGTCAAAGACAAACTAGGGATTGAAGCTTGAGTTGGGGCTATCATAGTGGTGTGATCAATCAAGTCAGGATTATAAACTATTTTATATTATAACAGAAATATCTTTTAGTGATGGCAGGATAGAATAATATTATATAATTTATTTTTTATGTACACCCATTCTGTTTGAATAGCAACAATACAGAAACATTTGATTATACTTAATTTTGTAATAAATCCATGGATCATTTGACAGATTACTCTTAATAATTCCAAGAGTATATCATAAACAAAACAAATATCTCCAACTAATGTGTAATATAATGAATCATTTTATGTCAATGAATGTACATTTCTTCCTAGAAATCCAATTTTGTACTAGTACAAATTGGACAAGTTGTAGAGTAGTCCCACCTGTCCAA